TTCTCTTATCTCCATATGGAGGGGTTAAAGATAACGAGGAGCTCTAGAGATCTGCAGCCTCTTGGAAAAGTATCTGCAACAGAGGTGAAATCCAGCAGGTTCTGACAGGTTCTGGAAAACCGGTAGCGGAAATTCCGAGTAGTTCAGAGAAGCGGCAAATACCACCTCTGGCTGACCCCTGAGTGCAGTGGGAATGGAGATTTTGCAATATCCTTCCCCCAGGAGTGGGGAGGGAACGGGGATTTTGCAGTATCCTTCTCCTGGAATGGGGTGGGAATGGAGATTTTGCAGTATCCTTCCCCCTCCACGCCCACCAAGCCACACCATGTCCACCAAGCTACGCCCACAGAACTGGTAATAAAAAAAATTGGATTTCACCACTGATCTACAACCAATGTGTTATCACCCAGGGTTGGTGTGCAAGCAACACGTGCTAGGCGGAAGCTAGACAACTTTTATTCAACCACCATCCCCACAATCCAGCAATTCCCAGTCCGTTTTCCAAGATCTCTTCCCCCAGGTTATCCTTACAGTCCAGGAGCAAGGCTCGAACACACGTGCCCGCACAAGCTTCATGCAACTTCCCAGCAATGAAAGTCCACAGGAGCAGCATTGCTCCGGGGGCAAGACAGGATCTCAAACTCAGCAAAGTTCACGACGAATTTCAAAGCAAAGGATCAAACCTCACTCCACACCAGCAAGGATTCTGGAGCAAAGTTCTTCTTGCAGCCGTTGCCACAAAATACACTTGTTCCCGACAAAAACCCCTCCCATGGCTTCTCCTTCAATGCTATTCTCTAGATGATCCTCGGAAGGGTGCCCTACTCCCAAGTAGTCAGGTCGCCCTGCACTGACTCTGCCTCCCTGCCTATTCTTCTGAAGCCCAAGAGACCCAGGACTGCCTTGTCCTCACTCCTAGGTCGTTCTTCATGGGCCAGAGGGAGTGCACCTCTCTCTCCATCAGCCCCAGCTCCATCTCCTCCTCGGACGGGGGCTCCAGTGGGGCCATGACATAATGTTTCTATTCTTTGGATTTCCTATGAAGTCCACCTTAATAGTTGTTGGGTTTTTTTGTACAGACTGAAGAGAGCAGCTTGCTCTTCACTTTATAAACAGTGTTAGACATTTAGGAAAGAGAAAGACTGCCTTTTGCTAGAAGATGAACATAATTTTCAAGTTTTTTTTCTGAGAGCCTAGGACACGGTGGCCAAGCAAGGCAATCTAGGCAGGAACAAGATCTCCTGCTCTTCCCTCAAAGATTTTCTTTCAAGGAGGATTCTTTATTTCTTTATTCTTTTCTTTATTTAGCTAAGTCTCTTTCAGCCTTAATTTGGGAGTGCTTCCTACCTAAGAATGGCAGGAAGCCACAAAGCCACCAAATTTCAGCCATTGTCATTGGTGTGGAGATTACGGCTGTAAGAAAACAAATCTTAGAACCCAGATGTTAAACCTCAAATAATTCATTCCTCTGTTAGACCATGATAGTCTGGAAGAGAAAAGGGCAACTCAACACATGACTATCAATATTTCTTGCACATTTTTCAAAGAAAACGTGGTTGCAATTTGTGCACAAAACCAGTTGTGGGAGGAAAAAATATTGCATCAACCTAGGAGTAAATGAATCCTCTTCTCCTGATTACATCAAGTTGCATTCTAAAGCGAACACTATTAATTTCCTGGGAAGGCAAAAGCGCAGACTAATAAATGATCATGTTCAACTCCGCTGATCAATGAATCTGGAAGTGTGTCTGTATTTTCCTTTTAAAGTGCAGCACTCAAGAGAAATGACAGCAGTCTTCGACCTCAGCTTAAATTTATTTTGGTGAGACATTCAACCAACACAAGGATTAAACATCCTTGCTGCAGAAATGTGTTCCAAAATACTTCTGAGTAATTCTTGCCTGTTCTTAGAATAAAATATTTGCAATAGGAAAGACCAGGCTCCGGATTTATTTCCTCACTCTTCTGAAGGAAATAGGAAGGAATATATGTAAAAATAGATGTATTAAATCGTGGAAAGCTTTAACATGCCTATCTTTGTAAAAAAACAATAACAAGAAGAAGCTGAACATTGTGCTATTGAATTCTCTTGAAATAATTTTACAGTACTTGAAAATTAAATGCAAACGAAAGGATGGGAGCACATGCACTTCCCAAACCTGGGTTATCCATTATTAATTTAGAACAATTAACTCAAGACAGAAATGAACAGGCTCAAATTATACTTCTTATGAGAAGACCTAGGTCTCTGGAGAAGGCCCCAATGTTAGGAAGGGTAGAAGGAAAGAGAATAAGCAGACAACTAACTCAAGAGGCCTTGGTAGTACAGTGGTCTAAAGCACCCTGTTATTAAGACCAGCTGCCTGCAATTACTGCAGGTTTGAATCTCGCCAGGCTCAAGGTTGACTCAGCCTTCCATCCTTTCTAAGGTAGGTAAATTGAGGACCCAGTTTGTGGGGGCAATAAGCTGACTTTGTATAAATATACAAAAGGATGAAGGCTATTGCTTAGCACATTGTAAGCTGCCCTGAGTCTCCGGAGAAGGGCGGCATATAAATCAAATTAAAAAAAAAAAAGATGGATAGACTCAGTTTCAATGAAGTTAGGTACATCATTGGACGACCATGCTAGGGAAGGATTATCATGGGGAAAATTTATCCATATGGTTGCCAAAGCTAATGATGACTTGATGGCACATAATCATCAGTCCAGAACAGGAATCGTGTTGTTATCTAGATTTAAAAAAAAAAAAAAAATGATAGTCTTTTTTTTAACCAAAGAACTGTCAGTTTCAGTCTTCACTCATTAGTGACTTGTATGAGATAGGTTGAGGGACGAACTATTTATAAAATGAAATATATGTCTCTATTCAACATTTATGGATTTAGTAGTTATTGTTTTAAGTAATAGCTGTGTGATATAAGATTGAAGCACACCCAAGGATTTCATTTTTCAAGCAGTTTTGAAAAATTCCTGTCATCTCCAAGTATTTGCTACTTGACATGGGAGAGAAGCCGATATTGTTGTCGCTAGCGACTTTTCTTCCATGCCAAAAAGCAATGAGAACCTGGGGAGAAGATTCGTCTTGCGGATATTCTTAACAACACAGCATGAAAACGTTTCAAAAATACTTGATCTGTTCTTGTTTCTGGTTTTGCATCCATTCCACCCCACAGATAACTAACTAAACAAGAGTTCTTTTTAGATAAAAAGATATTTAGTTTATACAGTGCACAATATGGTATTGACAAATAGATACAAAACATTTTAAAAAAATAAGTGACTAATGATATACAGACAAAATACTGCTAAGCTCTTAATTGCATAGATAATTTATACACAATGATTTGTAATTTACATAGTACAGCAGGCTATCATATTTTTGGATTTTGGTTCTTATAAAATTTATTACAGATTTGAATTAAGCATGTAACAACATAATATTTTAAGAAATGTAATGGCTCTTATCTCACAATAGAATGTGATTCTGGATTAATCAGGTTTTACTTTTGTTTGTTTTTGTGTCTTCAAGCCATTGTTGACTCATGGCAACTGCAGAGTTATTGGCAAGATTTCAAAAGTGGTTTGCCATTGTAAGGCACAGGGCTAAAAAGCACTATGAAACGGTATATTACTCTGCTAAGAATGATTGGCCAAAGATCATCCAGCTGGCTTTGTGCCTAAGACGGCACTAATATTCACAGGGTGATGCCTTAACCACTATACCTAACTGGTTCTCTGTGTTAATCAGTTACAAAACAGTAATAGATAAACTGGGGACTTTGCCTATTTAATTACATCAAGTATACTAATCAATAGCCCTTTTCTCCATTCTGATATAGCAGTCAAAAATTTTGAACGACAGCAGATGCATGAAGAATATTCACTTTCCAATTCAATTAAATGACAATAATTCATACAAAGTCTCTCACCATAAACATGTGTAAGATGTACAAAATAGTAGACATATTCATATCTCAGTCAAAATGAGAAATATGTTAAGTTAATTTAAAGGCTTCTAAATGCATTGTTGAGCTTAAATGGACTCCAGAGGATGGTAGAGGACAGGAAGGCCTGGAGGAATGTTGTCCATGAGGTCGCGATGGGTCAGACAAACAAAAAATGCATTGTGCCTTAAGCTTTAAAAAATTTAGCTCCTACTTCAGCAGATACTTAAAATGATTACCTTGACATGTCAACAATGAAATTAGAGGAAAACGAAATACTGTATACAAAACACAGAGAGCAAATAGCTGTCCTATTTATGAAACAATGATTTAAATAATACTACCGATAGTCTTACACTGGGAATATATAGCATAACTTTACAACACTCTTTCTTTTCTTGACAGAATTTTATGGCTCAGGTATTTCAGGTATTTAAAAAGGGCAACAATATTGTTGAAGTATTTCCCCACTAAGGTTTGAATATTATAATTTCTGAAATTAGACCGATATTATTTTAGAACTTGAATAATTTGTTAATGCTGGAAACACAATATGAGCCAACAGCACGTTGGTTTAAAAAAAAAACCATAATCATTCATGAGACTTATATGACCACTGAAGTGAAAAGACTAAAAAGACTTAAGATAGCTTATATTAAAAGCTCAGTAAATATGAGCCATCAAAAAGCAAAAAAATAGGAAAAGATATCGGTACTCCTCTATAGGAGAATACCTATAATGTAATTTCAATAACACTTCAACAATCAACATGATTCACAAAGCATAAAATTTGGGTTTTCAGTACCATTCTAAAACAGAAGAGGAATAGAATAGAGCTGGGATTTCAAGTGGTTTTGCTGGATAATTATCCAGCAAAACTCTAAAAATACAGACTTAAAATGATTTTTTGTTAAAGAAGATTAGGAATCCTTGGCTCCTAATTTCTACAAAATCTTAAAATGGCTCAGAGGAATATAAACTATGAACAATATTACGGTTCAATTATTAAGTACTAGGCTTTCGTCCAATTGTAGTTTATAGATGGTTACTTACCATCAGTTTGAGATTTACTGAGGAACATTGTGCTGGCTCGTGGATGGTCTGAGGGGTTGAATTCCATGTTTAGATCTTGAAAAAGAAATGTGAGAAAAAAAATGGAATATTAGGAGTGACTTATCAGGAGTAAATTTAGTGTTTCATTGTACAACTAATGCTAATCCATTGTAAAGCGACCTTCCTAGACCCCAAATTATTGCTTTGTGCCCTCAGTTCTCCAATTCATTCCTTTTAAAGCAGAGATTGTTAACCAATTGGTTCCATGGACTCCTTTTGGAGACCGCTGAAAACTACAGACCCCTTCATGGAAAAAATGTGTCTAACTGCATAAAATAAAATACATATATAGATTATATTATAAAAGAAATCTAACACAGCATAATGAAATGCAGTTATCAAAATATTAAAGAATACCAGCTATGCAATATTGCGTTCTTTATTAATGCCTTATATAAATTACAAGAAATTTTAATTAAGTTCTAAATTTCAATTGGAGAGTAGGAAAAATAAAAGGTATTTTTCCTGTCCAAATTCATAGACCTCCTGAAGACTATCCCTGGATCCCCCAATGGATTCCTAGCTAAGGGCCTCTAATTTACAGCAAGAGTCTATTTCAGATATAATTGTTCCCTGTAATAATAATTACAGTGCCTCTGCTTACACAGATTTATCCTAATGTGGAAACTATTGATATAATGACATCATCCTCTGCCAGTTTATACAGACTTAATTTTATGAGATAGAATTAATGGTTGGCAAGATCTGTTAAAGGGAGCTGACATAACACAATTAAAAATGCTGGATAAGTAAACCCTGAATTCAAACCACAAATGAATTATATAGCTGTTTGGATCACCTTAATGTTTGTAAAAAAGGGAAAGCGGGGATATCCTTTACACCAAACTTCTTGAAGAAAAGACAAACATACTAGAATAAACTTGCAAAAGGATCTTCCCTTACTTGCCTGTAGTGTGTAAAATTAGCCTCCAGCAAACTCTTAGAAATGCTTTTTCAAGGCATACAAACAAGGCTTTTAAAAAATCAAATAAATGGGCCCTCAAATTAGGAAGTCTGTGATCTTTATGCAAGACAGTTCCATTGCTGCTACTAACAGAATGGAGGTGGGGGGGAGGAGAGGGGTCAGGACAAAAACTGATTATCCCTTATTTTTCTCTCATTTTCCACCCTTCTAGAATTCTTGAAAGTCTTTGGTTTGAGTCAGGAAGCAACTTGCCCAAGGAGAAGATCTGCCACAAGGGGGCCAATCGTTTCGGTGAAAATTGAAAGCAAAAGCTGTGGATACTTTTCTGCGTAGCTTAAGCATCCAATTACGACTGGATGAGGCCAGGAGGCTGTGATAGTCATCTTTAGCGTTGGCCCATCCTATGGTCAGATGTGAAGAGTAGACAGAAAACAAGAAGGGGAGGAAAAATAGAGAAACAAAATCCTCTACACTTCTCATTTTCATTTCAAGTTGAAAAGGTTTCTCGAGAAACTGAAATTTGACTCTCTCCAATCTACGTTTTGCTGCCAACTGGCAGAAACATTATGATGGCATTGCTTACCCCTCTTAATCTCAGCTCTGCCTTCCCTAGAAAATGCCATTGATAACACTCTTTGCTGCCAAATGTCAAGAAACATCCACAGCTTTTAGTCCCCTTATTCGGATATGAGACAGACATCTGCACACTTGCATACAAGATTTCCCTATAGCAACTTTATCATTAAGATGTGTGGACTTCCGTTCCCAGAATTTTGCTGGCTGTAGAGTTCTGGGAGTTGAAGTCCACATATCTTAATATGGTTGAAGAACACTGTTGTAGACATTCATACATGCATAATCACACTCTCATAGGCAGCTACACAATCTAACACAGTCACATATGATAGCATAAGAGAATAAAATTATTATTATTATTATTAAGATTGGTTGCACAGGCAGCCAGATGTTTAGACTGGATTAGGCATTTTTATCCACCTATCTTATTATTACAAAAGCTACGAGTGGCACAAAGAGTCATGGAAAGATTAATGCTCGGCATTACAAGACAAGAAAGAAAGACCTGCACATGGATTAGAGAACAAACAAAACTATATAATAGCATGAAGGAAAAGAATTGCAGTGGAAATGGACTGGTCACATAGCAAGAAGAGCGAATGGCAGGTGGACCATGGCAGTCATAGCATGGATCCCACTCAATAAAAAGCATCCATGAAAGAAACCTACAACAAGATGGATCAACAACATCAGCAAGTATGAAGGGCCCTATTGGTAAAAGAAGCTCAGGACCATATTGGTTGTAAACATGGGGAAGAGGCCTTCATCCTGCAGTGCATAGACAGTGGCTAAAATGGTGATTATGATGATAATGATGATCTTATTATTACCGTACTTTTCGGAGTATAAGACGCTCCGGACTATAAGACACACCCACCTTTTTTGGTGAGGAAAACAAGAAAAAGAAATCTGCCTCTGCCTCCCAGCAATTTTGCCTCCTTGCAAAAAACAGCAAACAGCCTGCTTTACTTTTATTTTCATTTTCAGCATAGCTTGATTAACACAAGAAAAAAAAAATCTGCTCCCAGCAATTTACCTCCTTGCAGCAAGCAGCAGAGGCTCACGCAGCAATAGGCAACGGCAGTCCCTGCAGCCTGAAACAGCTGAGAGTTGGGAGGCTGATCCAACCGACAATCAACTTGTGCTAATTAGGCTGTGCTAAACTGAAATGGGCTGTTTCTTCTTGCTGCTTGCTGCAAGGAGGTAAATTGCTGAGAAGTCATAGGGGGCCAGTGGGTGGGCAGAACTACATTTGGTGTATAAGACGCACCAAATTTTCACCCCCTTTTAGGGGAGAGAAAGGTGCGTCTTATACTCCGAAAAATACAGTATATGTTCCCAATAATGTGAAGTCCCAACTGCCAGTTCTTTAACTGCTAGTGAACTTTGTATGCATTGAGTTCTGCCCAAGAACCTAGGATGTCATGTATCAGTGTAGTGTATATGAGGATCCAAGCAGTGTGGCCTTTTGCAACTGACAGATGGAAATTTTGCCAATGCACAGATTGTCCTGATTGCACACAGGTTTACAGGAGCAATTAGTGATGGTTTTATCCTAAGGACCTATAAGGCTGCCTTCTCCAATCGGAATCAATCTGTCTGACTGTCTAGGAGAAACTGTGATGTCCAGTTTTCATGAGATTACAACATACAGGAATCATTTGGGGAAGGAATATTTTGCTTCCTGAAAGCAGCATTTGTTAATGCCTTCTAGAAGTTATTTTAATAGAAAATTGTTCTTGAGGGCATTTGAGGGTCCTTCTAGCCATACGGATCAGGGGATTGGTTGAACCTTTGACATATTGTTAATGTATTGTTGATAGACCACCCCTCAGTTGTTCTTCTCTGCCTTTTGTTCTTGCTAGGTATGTATATTTATTGTTATATTACTTTAACAGTATTTGCCATCCAGAATCCGCTTGACAAGATGGATAGCAGTGTAAATAGATAAATAAACCAAATAAAATCAACCCATCAAGTGGCTTACGTGCTCCTATGTTGTTTTAATTGTTCTGTGTTTTATCTTTCTACTAGAGGTGTTTTAATGTTTATATTATATGGTTTTATTCCTGTAAATCTTAGAGACTTGGAGTAGTTGGCAAAATACAAATGGAACAAATAAATAAAAAAAACTAAATAAATAAGAAATTCCTTTACCTCATTAATACATAGGGAAACTCACAAAAACAATGAAGGCCAGGTATCCTAGCAACTAGCGGTTTCTGAGGAATTCTCTAGGCTTTCCTAGCTATGCAATCAGAAATTTAATATTAGTTTCATTAAAAAAAGAATAAACCATCTATCCATCTATCTGTCTGTATACCTGACTCACAAAATATATGGAAACAGCTTTGAAAAATGACAAGAATACATATACTCATTTTTAGGAGAAACTTGCATTCAGCTCCTGTAACCAATGCTACATTCTAAATTTGGGGAACAGGATGAGTGTTTGGTAGCATGGAAGTTCTTAGACTCTCAGGTATAGATAAAATCAGTTACACCAACATTTTAAGTTTTTTTATATAAACTAATATATATATATATTATTTATCTTTTTGAAATGAGGGGTGATTTTCTTATCTCTGAGTTGAGAGCATGTTCTTGCTACATCTACCATATTCCATAGCCCTTGTACCCCGATTCAACTTCTTGCTTCTATAGCCTTGGCATTATCCATGTCAACTTTGGATTGATGTAGTTGCCTTAACTGACAATAATAAAGGGATCAAGGCAGGGGTGAAATCCAGCAGATTCTGACAGGTTCTGGAGAACCAGTAGCGGAAATTTTGAGCAGTTCAGAGAACCGGTAGCAGAAATTTTGAGAACTGGCAAATACCACTTCTGGCTGGCCCCAGAGTAGAGTGGGAATGGAGATTTTGTAATATCCTTCCCCCAGGAGTGGGGAGGGAGTGGGGATTTTGCAGTATCCTTCCCTGGAGTAGGGTGGGGATGGAGATTTTGCAGTATCCTTCCCCTGCCACACCACCCAGCCACGCCCACCAAGCCACGCCCACAGAACCGGTAATTTAAAAAGTTGGATTTCACCACTGGATCAAGGTGGTGTACCATTGTGTTATTCTGGGCAAAAGGAGATATCTGTAGAAAGACAAGAATCTTTTTTTTTTTTTTTTTTGCTAGGAGATTTAGAGACCAAACGTGCAGGTCAGATAATAATTCTGTAACTATAAATACTTTTATGTTTAGCTTGACAGTTCATCTTATTGGTGAAACAGCTCTGCATCCCTAGCCTCAACTTAATATGCATGGCACGGAAAACCTGTTCCTATTATGCTTTACACTAGAAAGAATCCATATCATTTTTTCCAGGTACAATACAGTATCCTGGATTTTACACCCCAACCAATATTAGCTATAAATATATAATCTACTGCTCAGTCTCCTTTGTGGCAATCAACAATCTATTCTTAAACCATATTTCCCAGGAGAAGTAAACAAAGTACTTCAACAATCGTAGCTATTAAACCTTTATTATGTATCTTGTTTCAGAACA